TTTCTCTATTTTGAATGCTACTATAATTGAAGATATTTTTAAAATAACACTTAACAAAGTGAAATTTCCAGGATAAATTTAAAGTTTTCATTGCATGATGCCAAAATGCTATACTTGGGTTGAAATCCAATCCAGTCTTTGTGTAATTTGTATAATCATCCTTGCAGAAGGCCATTCATTCATTCTATTATTATTATTATTATTATTATTATTATTATTATTATTATTGATTTCAGAGAGGAAGGGAGAGGAAGATAGAAACATTAGTAATGAAAGAGAATCATTGATTTGCTGCCTCCTGCACACACACACACACACACACACACACACACACACCACTAGGGATCGAGCCGGAAACCCAGGCATTTGCCCTGACCAGGAATCAAACTGTGACCTGGTTCACAGGTCCATGCTCATCCACTGAGCCTCGCCAGCTGGGCTTGCCATTCATTCTTTCATTCAGTCAAAAGATGTTGGACTTAGAGAAGTGTCAGATGCTATAGTAAGCTCTGGGGACACAGGCAAAATCAATAATCCCTGCCTCCATACATGCTAACTGCTCACCAATCTGAGATCACTTAACTGTTCTTGGGTGTTGCATCTTGCAGAGTCAGTCTACATTCCTGACTTTCGGATTCTTTTTCCCCTTTGACTCTTCAATTCCTTTCTCCTAAAAACTATGTACTTTTATAAAGCCTTTGAAAAGTCATTATAGTACTATATTTGTTGAACCGATACAAAATTTAGTAAAATTTTGCAGCAATTTCAGAGAAGGCCAATCTGAATAATTTGGTTAATTATCATTTTAAGGCACCAGATACTGAGTGCCTCTGATATACTTGCCAATTATTGAGTTATGTCTCAGAGGGAGCTATTATTAGCCCCAAATTACAAACAAGGAAACTGAGTCTTTAGAGGTTAAGATTGCATAACTTCTAAGTGCCTGAGTCAGGATTCAAAACCAACTCTGTCTGACTCCAAACTCTGTGTTCATATTGAACATGAAAGAGAAATTTCTTATAAACATTTTAATGGTTAACATCTATAGATGCTTGTAGAGTCGTCTAAAAATAGCATTCTCTTGTCAAAGCTTGGATGGGAGCTCCTTGGTTTCAGAGCCAATATTTCTGTAAAATGTCCAACAAAGCAAATTAGCTCACTAGGTCTGTCAGAACAAAGTACCACAGTCTGGTGGCTTATGCAATGGAATTCATTTCCTCACAGTTCTGGGGATTGGAGGTTTGGGATCAAGGTGTTGACAGAGTTGGTTTCTTCAGAAGCCGCTCCTCTTGGCTTGTACTAGTAGATGGCCACCTTTTCTGTCTTTGCTTGGTCTTTCTTCTGGGCCTATGTCTTTTCTCCTTTTCTTTTTTTTTTCTTTGCTTTCTTTCTTTCTTTCTTCCTTCCTTCCTTCCTTCCTTCCTTCCTTCCTTCCTTCCTTCCTTCCTTCCTTCCTTCCTTTCTTTCTTTCTTTTACATATGTGTTATTGATTTTTTTTTTTTTTTTTAAGAGATGTAGGGAGAGGGATAGAGAGTTAGAAATATCAATGGGTCCTAGCTGGTTTGGCTCAGTGGATAGAGCGTCAATCTATGGACTGAAAGGTCCCAGGTTCAGTTCCGGCCAAGGGCACATGCCCGGGTTGTGGGCTCAATCCCCATGTGGGGGCATGCAGGAGGCAGCCAATCAATGATTCTCTCTTATCATTGATGTTTCTATCTCTCTCTCTCCCTCTCCCTTCCTCTCTGAAGTCAATAAATATATGTATTTTTAAAAAAGAAACATCAATGAGAATCATCAATCAGCTGCCTCCTGCACACCTCCTATTGGGGATGTGCCCGCAACCAAGGTATATGCCCTTGACAGGAATTGAACCTGGGACCCTTCAGTCTGCAGGCCGACACTTTATCCACTGAGCCAAACCGGCTAGGGCCTTATCTCCTTTCCTTATAAGGACTGGTCAGATTGGAACAGGGCCCACCCATAATACCTCACCTTACTTTACATAAAATAACAAATGTGTACTATTTCCAGGTACACGTTCTGAGGTATGTGGGGGGTTAGGACTGAAACACATGTGGGGTAGGGAGACTTACTCAGCCTAACGTGAAGCGAACCTCACGGAGCTGACATTACCTGAAGAGAGTGGACGATGGGATGCTTCCCTCTCCCATGGTTTCAGAAATATCGATAAGCATCTGCTGTTCCCGGCCTGTGCTGAGCTAAAGGAAAACTGGCAGCCACGGGCCCTGTCTTCAAGAGCTCACACTCCGGAGGCCATTTACTTTTTACATTTTTCAAACTATAAGAGAAAGTGTTTTTTTAAAGTCACAGAGGTAGAAAAAGTGAGTTGTAGAAGAAATGGCCTCAGGAAACAAGTTCCCTGCTGGTTTGCCTCAGTGGATGGAGCATTTGATTCGGGTCAAGGACACATGTCTGGCTTGTGGGCTTGATCCCCAGTGAGGGGCGTGCAGGAGGCAGCCGATCAGTGATTCTCTTTCATCTTTGATGTTTTTATCTCTCCTTTCCTCTCTGAAATCAATTTAATTTTTTTTTCTTTTTTTTTTTAAAGAACAAAGGCCCTTGGAGCTTAGAGGAAAGAGAGAGGCAAGGAAAACGTGCCTGGGGGAAGGAGAAAGGCGAGGTGTGCCCCTTAGAGAGCCGCTGGAGGGCCATTTAGAGAGACCAGAGGCTCACAAGCTCAGAAGCACATCTGTGTCACCTGAAGGGCTTGTTAAAACACACAGCACTGGGCCCCATCCCCGGAGTTTCCGACTCAGGGGATCTGGAGTGGGCCTAAGAATTTGCATTTTAATAAGTTTCCAGGTGCTGCCCGTCTGGAGACCACACACTTTCAGAACTATTGAGCTGCACCTACCAAGATCACATGTGACATGTATGATTGAGGTGACAGATGTTCCGAGAGCACAGAGGAGGGGCCATTTTCTGTTTTTCATGTTTAAGAGACAATCGGGAAAGTCCCTTGGTACCTGAAATTCCCCAGAAAATTTTTAGCATTCAGACCTTGACTTTGTAAATGGTGGGAAACAATGCATTGCCTGTACCATTAACTTGCTACTTGGCAAATACTCCCTTTATTACTAATTATCTATACTAATAAAAGAGTAATATGCTACAATAATTAGACAGGGAGACCTTCTGAAGACCTTCCAGACATCCTTCTGGACAAAGCCAGGGGCTTGGTCGGCCTGCAAACCACCCCCAAATGGCCCTCAGCCCCTCGCCCAGGCCAGTCACGGGCCCTTCTCTCCCCCTCTTCCGCAGGGACCCTCACCCCATGGGGGCGTGGCCAACCTGCAAACAGCCCTCAGCCCCTGGACCAGGCCAGCCATGCCCCTCAATGGGGACCCTTACCTCGATGGGGGCGTGGCCGGCCTGCATACCACCCAAGTCCCTTGCCCAAGTTGGCACCACCCCCAGTGGAGACCTCCACCCCGATGGGGGACCTGCAATCTCCCCAGGTCCCTGGCCCAGGCTGGCTCCGCCCCCCAGGGGACCCCCATCTTGATCCGGGACCCACTTAAGGTCAGACCAGCAAGTCCCCACCAGTGCACCAAGCCTCTATTTATACTAATAAAAGGGTAATATGCTAATTAGACTGGGAGACCTTCTGGATGTCCTTCTGGACAAAGCCATGGTGGCAGGGCCAAGGCAGAGGAGGGTAGGAGCGATCAGGCAAGGAGGGGAGGGCAGTTGGGGCCAAGCAGGCCAACAGGGGGGGCAGTTAGGGGTGATCAGGCAGGCAGGTAGGTGAGTGGTTAGGAGCCAGTGGTCTCGGATTTCGAGAGGGATGTCCGACTGCCAGTTTAGACCTGATCCCATGGGGCCTTAACCAGCAGTCAGACATCCCCCAGGGGGGTCCCAGATTGGAAAGGGTATAGGCTGGGCTGAAGGACAGCCCCCTCTCCCCTGCCCTGTGTACAAAATTCATGCACTGGGCCACTATTATCTATATAAGAAAAGATAAAGAGCCTGGGGTGCAATAAATTCTGGGCTCTATCCTTAATCTGAAAATGCTATGGGAACTTGTCAAATCTCTTCCTGCCCTGAGATTTGTTTTTGGTCATCTGTAAAACTAGAGATTAGATGAAAAGATCTTTAAGTTTCCTTTCAGCTCACTCTTTGTGGTCTTATCAGGATAAAAGATCCTTAAGCAGAAACTAGAACCATGTCTTTTGACTCCGGAGTTCCTAACACAGAACCGTAAACATAGTGCTGTTCAGCAAATGTTTATTGATTAATTGACTGAATTAGTCAAGGGAATGTAAGGCACAAGTGATTCTTGGCTCAGCGCTACAGCCTCCTCTCTCACCCTAAGGCGAATCCTTTCCCCACCTGTGCAGCTGCCAGCTCTCATTTTCAGCAGCCTTCCTCTTTGTTCACCTCTCACTCACGTCATTAACTTTTTTATTTTATTAATTTTAGAGAGCAAGAGGGGAAAACACAGAGAGAAACATCAACTTGTTCCACTTATTTATGCATTCATTGGTTGCTTCTCGTTAGGTGCCCTGACCAGGGATCGAACCCGAAACCTTGGCATATCGGGATGACACTTTAACCAACTGACCTACCTGGCCAAATCACACTATTAACTTTTAATATTGTTCCAATCCCCATTCATTTCTCTTGGGCACAATACTGAAGGAAATTATCCACAAACTCTATTGTCTTCCCATTCATTACCTTGCTTCCTGATTTTATTTAATCTGGCTCATGGCCCTCTGTGCTCTAAGTGTGACCTCTAACACACAAAGAACTACCCCATACATTGTCTGGCTCTTAATCAGGGTCTGTTTCATGAATTAAGGCTTCTGCCTCTCTCACCTGTGGACCTACCTTCCTGGATAGAATAATAATTAAGAGGATTAAAGACAAAATGTATGTGCTACATGAATATCTACCATATACAATATGTGTTGCCATATTATATGCTTCGTAAATAGTAAATATTCAAATAATATCAGCTATATGTACATATATTTTAAATATGGAATACGTTACAAATTTATGTGTCAGTTTTGTGCAGGGGCTATGCTAATCTTCTCTGTATTGCTCCAATTTTAGTATATGGGCTGCCAAAGTGAGCACAGACACTTCTATAAAGTAGACTGTACCTACTTCTCTTAGCCTTTGGCTTAGGAACCTGACAATCTTAATTTATAAAAGTACTTTTCTTTTTCTTTTTTTAAACATATTTCATTGATTTTTTACAGAGAGGAAGGGAGAGAGATAGAAAGCTCGAAACATCAATGAGAGAGAAACATCGACCAGCTGCCTCCTGCACACCCCCTACCAGGAATGTGCCCGCAACCAATGTACATGCCTTTGACCGGAATCGAACATGGGACCCTTCAGTCCGCAGACTGACGCTCTATCCACTGAACCAAACCAGTTCCGGCTAAAAGTACTTTTCTGAGGAAGGCAAAATTTTGCTCTGAAGTCTGTATTTTTAGTAGAGCAAACAGCCGCCTGTTTTTTTCATCATAATGGCAGTGGCAAAGATTAATGCAGAGGATAGTCACAGGATGTTTGATGTCTTCTTTCTTGGGTTAAATTAAATTCAGTGTTTTGTTTGTTTGTTTGTTTGTTTGTTTGTTTTAATTATCTCTTTGCCTGACCAGCATGTGTCAGGGGTTGAGCATCGACCTATAAACCAGGAGGTTGTGGTCCAATTCTCGGTCAGGGCACATGCCTGGGCTGCAGGCTCAATCCCCAGTGTGGGGGGTGCAAAAGGCAGCCGATCAATGATTCTCTCTCATCATTGATGTTTCTATCTCTCCCTCTCCTTCCCTCTCTGAAATCAATAAAATACATTAAAATAATTTATCTGTTTAGTACTTCCCAAAGGAAGAAGCTATATAGTCTTTCAAGTTTTACTATAGAGTCTCTGCACTTGAAGAGCTTAGGGTCTCACTCATGGCAAACACTCAGTTAATGTTTGCTGCTCTTAAAGTTGATGCCATGATGGCAGTGAACACTTCAATAACAAAAGAATAGTATTGTGTCAGATTGCTAGTACATATACTGTAGTTGCTGTGAGTTTAAAAACTATCGTCTGGAGTTATCAGGGAAAGCTGCAAGAAGTCCAACCGGCCTTGAGCTGGTGTGAAAGTATAGACTGAACTTGGGGATATGCATGTAATTTGGGCTCAAATATGTAATCTATCGATATGTTGTCTTTACAGCCCTGAACAAGAGGACTGGCTATTTGCCAATATAACTTTCATTCATAAGAGCTAACTCTGATGACTGGCAATGATGCATTTGACTCTCATCTAGTGAGTGTGTATCTCCTTAATGAAGTGGCATCACTGAGCACAGGAGCAAGCTTAACCTTCCCGAGGAAAAGTCACACTTTCTACAAAGAGGGTAACCCAGCTCTCTAGCTTTCCAGAATGAGCAAGATTGTATGTAGAAATTCTAAGAATCTCGGACAAAGTTATACACGAAAGGCCATAAAAAATGGTTCCGTATTTGCGTATGGTTGTTTTAGTTCTGCCGTGGTGAGCTGTCAATGTTTGTTTTAGCAGTGGCAGCACCCAACCTAAAAAGAGAACTAAAACACAGTTGGAAAGAGGAAGTATATGTTGAAAATATAACATTTTCCAAATTACTGAGTGGATTTCATCCAGTCATGTTAATGCATGTCCTTGCCACTTAGATCTTAAATATAATATATATATATATATACACACACACACATACATATATATATATATATATATATATATATATATATAATATTTTTAAATTAATTTTAGAGAGAGGGAGAGAGAGGGAAACATCAATGTGAGAGGGAAACATCAATCAGTTGCCTCCCATACGCACCCCAACTAAGGATCAAACCCGCAAGCTGGATATGTGCCATGAAAGGAGATCCATCTTGTGACCTTTGGGTACACGAGATGACATTCAATCAGCTGAGCCATTTGGCTAGGGTTGTCATTTGGATCTTGAACACTTTATGTGTTAAGCTACTACTGTATTTCCAAACCACAAGCTTTAGCAATGTCTTAGAGAGTCTGCCTAGTTTCTTCTTCAATGAAGACTGAAATAAAATCCATCATCTTTTCCTTTAAAAAAAATATTTTATTGATTTCTTACAGAGAGGAAAGGAAGAGGGATAGAGAGCCAGAAACATCAATGAGAGAGAAATATCACCAGCTGCATCCTGCAAACCCCCCACAGCGAATGTGCCTGCAACCAAAGTACATCACAATTCGGATCTCTTTTCCCATGTTTGTTTTGTGGTTTTTTCAGATTCCACATATAAGTGAGATCATATAGTATTTGCCTTTCTCTGATTAAAAAGAGCATAATGCTCTCAAGGTCCATCCATGTTGCTGCAAATGATGAGTTCCTTCTGTTTTATGGCTGTATAATATTCCAATTTTTTATTCATACCACAATTCTTTATCCATGCATTCATCAAAGGACATTTAGGTTGTTTCCATGTCTTGGTGTAGCTAAAGAAACTTTTATTCATTCATTTCTCATGTATTGGGGAATACAAAGAACATAATACAAAGCATCCTTTGCCTGTATTCCCGACGTAACTTATCCCACTCCCTCTCTCCTTGTACTTACTCATCTCCTATTTATCCTTTAAGATCCATGTTAAGTTCTACTTCCTCCCTGGAGCCTTTCACGACCTCTTCAGGCTCCTCTGAACCCCGTTCCTGTGAATGACACCCTCAGTTAGAATCTGATCATAGAGTACCTTGTTAAACCCCTTAAACTCCTCCTGTGTTCCTTGGAAAAGCAGAATGGCATGGTGGGTAGGAGGTAGCTCGGTCATCTTGCCATGCAGCCTTAGGCAAATTACTTGTTTATTTACCTGTAAGCCAGCAGAGATAGTAAAACTGCCCACGTCATAGGATTTAGATGAGGATCCATAAAAGTGCTTAGAAAAATGCCTCGCACAGTTTTGATGCTCAGTGTTGACTACTATCAGTGTCTCTTTTGCCCAATCCGTTTTTAGCACTTAGCCTTTATGTTTAATGACAGGATGGTTTCTGCCCTCACTACATTTATAATTTAGTTGTAGAGACTGAACAAATGCAGAACAGAAAGGGTGTGTGCTATTAAATGACAACTGAGATACACAATAAACAAATGTTTTCATTAGCATCTTTTAGTGTCTAGAAAGATGTTCCACAAAATCTTTTTGATCAATCCCCCCCCCCCCCCCCCCCGTTTTTTACCTAGATGCATTCTGTGGCCTTTCAAATATACATTAGCAATTGTATTTTACATTTTAAGATGGTAGACAACCCCCTTCCCAATGCCCGGACATATGACATCCTTTCTATTCTCTCTCTCAGGGCTTTTGTTTACCTGCCTGATTTATTTTATTTTTTTGTTTGTTTTTATCTGTGGCATAGATTTTCCTAGTCTACCAATCTTCTACTAAGTCCCCAGACTTCCTATAGCCTTTTTGCATGTTAAGCTACTTTTTGTTTCTTATCTATCCACTAATACTCAGGAACTATAAAATCTTTGTGTACAGTGCCTTCAATAAATATTATTTTAATTCAAATAGTACTGAATGTATAAAATTATTATTTTTAAACGAATTGGTAATAAATTGGATTATACTTTACTGGATAACAAATATGCTTTCTTCTCCAACCTTGCTGAGGAAACTGAAAGTTGGCTAAAAGAGATTATAAGCTTGAAACAAATGTCACATGCTATCAAGGACAAGTCAGTTCTGGCTGGACTATATGGAATCCCTGGCCTTTCTAAAGCTGATGCTCTGGACTTCCTAGCTGTTTGTCAGTGCAGAATTATTACAATTTAAAAAGGAGGCTTTAGTCTTTTTAGAGTTGGACTGTTTCATGTATTACTGTTTGAAGTGGATTTTCAATGAAATATATGTGAAATTTAAACTCTCCTAAATAATCTTAAAACCTTGAGGCAATATTTTAAGGTATAGAAGTGTATTGCAGTTGGATTGTCCAAAATTTCCCCTTTTGATTTCACCAAAGAGAGAGTAAAATAAAAAACAGTAAATTTTTCAAAATTAAACTTCAAACTTGAAAAATGCAGTAATTGTATTTTCAAGGAGAAATAAGAGATACAGATCCAAATGATTTTCTCCTCATTACAGATAGCTTATAGAGAAAGTTATGCAGCAGATCCTCAAATAAGGTAACTTTCAACGTGGTTTTGTTATAAAGTTGATGAGTTGCCCTAGAAACTTAGCTCTTTTAGCCTATAGTTAAATTGGCTTTGCTGCAGTTCCAGGACAATTGAGGACTTAAAAGTACAGACCCCTATTTATAAAAATGCATCAACTTGCCCTAGCCGGTTTGGCTCAAGAGCACGTACCATGGTTGCAGACTCCTTCCCTGCCCTGGCCCTGGTCGAATCTTATGCAGGAGGCAACCAATCGATGTTTCTCTTTGTCTTTCTCCCTCTCTTCCACTCTACCTAAAAATCAATGGGAAAATGTCCTCAGGTGAGGATTAAAAAAAAAAAAAAATCAACTAGACTCAGAGGTACTTTAAAAAATAGTATACATGCACCCTTTCAAACTCAATTCTTCTAAACTGTAATTACAGAAATTGCTCAAGGCATTCCTTTGACAATGGCTTGATAAAATCCATAGCAGGTAGAAGGATTCATTTGGGTGTTGTTCACATTAACATGTTCCCTTTTCCAGAGAATTGTTAGCATTATTATGGCATTTATCTTCCTAAAAGCTCTTGTCCTTTAATAATTAGCATGCTTTTTCTGATTCCTTGTTAGATTCTTTGAGACAAGCACAAGTAGTGCTTGCTTTTTATTATTTAAACTACATGTTGATGAATCAAAACATCAAGTTCCCTACACTTGAGAAAAGTAAGTTTTAACATGAAACACACTTGAATGTTTAATAATTACATTTAAAAGCAGTTTTAAGTAAATAAAAGCTCTTGCCAAGTGTGGTCCATGTTTTGTAACTTCCAGCTTTGAAGTACCCACTATATAAAGCAAACATATTAAATGTTAATCACTTTAGATCTAATTAAATATTTAAGCCTACAAAAATCTAGAGAAAGTGAAAAAAAAAGGTTAAACTTGATTTAATGTATACAACTATT